GTGTCAAGATTTTGACTCTTTGTTAATGAAAATTCTAAGAATTCTCAGAGAACACATTAAAGGACATCCCTCATTGTTAATGCACAAAATATATATACATGGCTATTGATTAAAAATACAATTAAATAAAGAAACAAGTAAATAACACAATAAGAACACTAAAAGCTGCAAGCGGCATTGAACGGGTCCTCGCTTCTTTCGGCAGTGCGACTGAGCCAGTCAGTGTGCATATGTATTTAACGTGCTGTGGCTGGGACTCGGAGCACACATGTACAGTTTCAGGGAGATCGGAGCACGTACAGGCAAGTTACACAGCACATGGCATTTGAGGGCATTTTATGGCGTTTTTGGCCAAATTCTACAGGCTGCCATTTTGACGCTATCACATTTTGCGGAGCGTTTTAATCACCACCTCCTGCAGTTCGTGCTGGCTAAATTTCAAATGTCTACGACTTTCCCCATAGGAGGAGATAGATTTTGAACATGGCTGAAAATGGCCAAAAATGAGCGAAAATTGCAAAATTCTGACCGTGTTTTTTTCAAAATGACGGACTTCCTGTTGGGTTTAGGGCTTGGTGCTGATTGACTTTTTTGTGTGTCCTGACCTGCTACACATATCCACCAAATCTTGTAGGTGTAGGTGAAACGTCCTTCCGACGGGACTCCGTTGAATACCAGAAACACCGCGAAAGTGGCCAAAATGGCCATTGATCAAAATTGCATGGGCTGCCATTTCCACGCTGTCAGACTTTCGCGGTGCATTTTGATAACTTTTCACCACGTCCTGTAGTTTGTGCTGGCCAAATTTGAAATGTGTATGACTTGCCCCCTAGAAGGGGATAAATTTTGAAAATGGCCAAAAATGGGTGATTTTTGGCCAAAAGCCGGCATTTTATTCAAAATGGCCAACTTCCTGTTGAGTGTCGGGTATGTGTTCTTGAGGCTTTTTTGTGCGTCACAAGTTGTTACGTGTGTGCCGAATTTCGTGGCTCTACCTGAAAGTGTGTTCGGGGACCCATTTTTTGTGATTTTGTAGGTGGCACTGTTGAGCCATTTTTCTATTGAGGTATGTATTTCTGCGTAATTATAAAATTTTTCGCCGGGTCTGATGTGTGTGCCAAGTTTGGTGCATGTGTGAGTACGTTTAGGACCTCAAAAACGCGATTCATTGTCACGAATAATAATTAAAGCCGCAAGCGGTGATGGACGGGTCCTCGCCCAATGCTTGTCAGCCTTCAGGCACGTCAGGGTGTGGCGCAAACGTGCTCCGGGCGGGACTCTGATCCGTCAAGTAGAGTTTCGACCAGATCGGAGCACGTGTGGCATATTTACTTCCTGTTTAGTGGCGAGCCGCGGTGGTGTACGTGTTGGCCGTGGCGGAAAAGCGCTCTGGCCGACACTCAGAGCACGTGCGTAAAGTTTCAGGGAGATCGGAGCACACACGGGCCAGTTACACAGTACGTCTTGTATTGTGCCATTTTAAGGCGTTGTGGCCACGCCCCCAGGTGGCGTTGTGAGTGAGATGGCTGTGATGACGGTTAGAGTGTGATGCAACATGTGAAGTTTGAGAGCAATTGGAGCATGTATCGGCTATTTACACTTCACTTCCTGTCTAATGGCGAGCCGAGGCGGCGTGCATGGCATGGCATGCTGGCAATGTGCTGTGGCTGAGACTCAGAGCACGCGTGTAAAATTTCAGGTGTGTATGACGTACCCCCTAGGAGGAGATAGATTTTGAAAATGGCGATTTTTGAGCGAAAATGGTCTGACATGCTCGCCGTTGTTCCAACATGGCGGATTTCCTGTTGGGTTTACAGAAACATGCTAATAGACTTTTTTGTGCGTCACGAGCTGTTACATATGTGTGGCGAATTTCGTAGTTCTAGGTAAAACGTAGCCATGATGGGACTCTGTTGAAGGGTTAGGGTTAAAAAAAAGACAAGGACTAATATAATGACATCCATTTTAAATGGGTTAAAATAGGTGGTAAACAAAAAGTCAGGCACACAATCACAAGATAAACAGTGTACACATCTACAATTTTGGTTTGTTAGGAACTCAGCTGACTAAACCGCCAATTGTAATTAAAAAATTATTAACTGAAAAGAGAAACACAGACATAAAACTAAAAGGAGAGGTTGAAAAGTAAACAAGCAAAAAAAAAAAAAAGAGCATGAAACACTCTCCAGGCTGCCTTTTACTGCAATCAAGCAGTCAATCTCTCACTGCATCAGCATAACATTCTGTCACAACTTGTATCAGGCATAAAAATCTTTTCCTACAAGTGAAAAATACAAGATATCTTGCAGTAAAATTGTCAGCCTGGAAAGAAACACACCTCATCACAGCCAGTGTGTGGGAATAAGTTTGACTGAAGCTGCTTTTGTAAGTGAAATAAAAATAACCAATGGGTGTGATGTTGAGAATTTTCATTCATATTGAATTGAAGTGCGGCACAGTAACAACACCCAGGTTTCAATAACTTTACAGTTTATTGGCACTGACAAGTTGAGCAGTTTGTCAGTAAATAAATAACAAATGCTGATCCCTCCTCATTGATGGGACAGACAAGCCTCAACAGAAACGCCTGTTAGTTCCTTATGTCACTTTTGGCAGTGCTGTTGTTGTTCCCACTGAATCTGGCTTTTACTTTACCATCAAGACGGTGAACTGACAGTAATAGTTCCACCAAGACTAATAGCTCACTGTTATAGTAAGCAGCTGTTTGATAGCTTAATTTCTAAAGGATTAGACTTCCTGGGTAAAGCGCCTCCAGTATGATATTGCAGTATGCAATACTTTACTCAGTCATTGATTTATTTGTGTGTTCAGCATTACATGGACTGGTTAAAAACAATGCTGGTATTTTATCCATTTCTTTTCGCAGCTCCTCTCTTCCTCACGTGGAGTGTAGTGAACTCGATCCACTGGTGGAGCGGCTCCACTCAGGCCCTGCCGGCCACCACCGTGCTCCTCCTGCTGGGGGCCTGGGTACTGGTGGGCTTCCCCCTCACCGTCATCGGTGGCATCGTAGGAAAGAACCGAGCTGGCAGCTTTCAGGCACCGTGCCGCACTCGGAACATCGCCCGGCAGATTCCTACACAGCCCTGGTACAAACACACAATCGTGCACATGGCCATCGGCGGCTTCCTACCCTTCAGGTGAGCTTTCTTTCCACCCTAGCCAAAAACCAAATGTTAGATGTTCAGCCTCTTAATTTCCACATTCTCACACTAAAGCCTGCTTTCTATTGTTTTTTCCCTCAGTGCCATCTCAGTGGAGCTGTACTACATCTTTGCCACGGTTTGGGGCAGGGAGCAGTACACCCTCTATGGCATCCTGCTGTGTGTCTTCGCCATCCTCCTCTCAGTGGGCGCCTGCATCTCTGTGGCATTGACCTACTTCCTCCTGTCAGGCGAGGACTACCGGTGGTGGTGGCGGAGTGTGCTGAGCACTGGTTCCACCGGCCTCTTCATCTTTGTGTACTCTGTTTTCTACTATAGGAACCGGTCCTCTATGAGCGGCCTGGTGCAAAGCACCGAGTTCTTTGGTTATTCTCTGCTCACAGCGCTGGTCTTCTCACTGATGCTGGGCAGCGTGTCGTTCTGGGCCTCGCTGGCATTTATTCGCTACATCTACCGTAGCCTTAAGATGGACTAGACATGAAATGCGCGCACACACACACACACAGCTCTAAATAAACATGTCATAGCACACATGGACAATCTTCATTGTCCTCTCTTGCTCTTTCACTCACACACAACACACAAAGACCTCCAAATGCATTTACAGGAGGAGAAACGGGGCCTTCACCTTGGTTTCTAAGGGGTTTATTGACCTTCAGTAGCTGTCAGTGTTGGAATAAAGGATGAATGTTTGAAAGGATGAACAAATTGGGGATGAGATTGTCATGGATTTATGGATAAAAGGGGATATTTCAGTACAAAGGGATGATTGTGTCTCATCAGGAATAAATGAGTAAAATGTATGATATTCTACATGCGTGAATGGATTTAGTTAATTGCATGATGCTGTGTGGCGTCATCTGCTCATTTCAGAAGTCATGGTCTATGACGGCTGGGCAGGAGCTACATGGTCTATATTTCCCACATGACACTGGTTACCTACTGAGAAAGCTCACTCATACTGTAGTTCTGATTATGCAGCAGTGCAAGTGTGATCACTTGCAATTATACTACCCCACACATACAATTGTGGCAGCCTGTTGAAGTATAACAAACATTGTTTTGCACTGGCCCCGTTTGGCTCCACGTGGTCCTGCAGTCAATAAAAGGAACGATGCCTTGTAGATCGAAGAGCTGTTGCAAAATAATGGTGATGGGAGCAATATTGTAATTGTATTCTATGGTCACCATTGACTGTGATTTTGGTTCTGATGTAAATATAGTCTTTTCAATAAAATGCTTTTTAATACAACATTGCCAGCAAACAGCTTCCCGGGACTTCTTTTGTGACAACAGTCTAGTAGACCTCATAGCCCAACTGACACCTCATCCTAACAAAGTTCCTGCACATGCTTGATGCAAAGAAGGCAGCCACTTGTGTTGATTATTTATGCTATTGTAATATAATGCACTCAAAATGAAACAAAGACAACGCTTCAACTTGTCAAAGCAAACCTGTATTTATAGAAAAAAATGCATTGAAATGCCTCCACATCAGATCTGCACTGCTACTTTGTGATAAAATAGTTAAAAAATGTAATACAAAGGATGCAACCAACTTGGACACATCGAGTTTCACCAAACGCAAAGAACATACCAACATACATTAAATAGTAGCATATAAAATAGAGCCTGATGATAAAAAAAAAAGAAAAAAAGAGGAAAATCCTTTTGAACATCGGTAGGATTGAAGCATATCTATACACAGCCTGACAAAAATTACATCAGTTAATTATAAACTAAATTCAGCAAGCTTGAAGAGAAGAATCTTAACACAGCTGTTAGAAAACATTTATAAAGAAGCTCAAATGCTGACTACTGGCCGGTGTTGTGAGCCATGGCAGCATTGAGGGAGCTCTGGGTGTTGACAGGCACTCCATCGTTGTTTTCAAAGCTTGGATCGTGGCCGAAGTTGTTTAAAGCAGCGACGGGGGCCAAGTTAAATGGACTGGGGTTGTATTCGTAATTGCCGACGCCCTGTGGCATGGACCAGCTGGTCATCTGGGGCCTGTTGGGCGCTGCAGCCTGCGGCGAGGTGGAGGACCAGGCGGGATAGCCAGGGGATCCGGTGCCCATGGCGGCCAGATAGAAGGCCAGGTTCTGTGGAGTGGTCTTTTTGAAGGCCGCTTCCATCACGTGTTGGTTGTAATGCTCCCTGAGCTGGGGCCGTGCCTCTCCCTGATACTGAAACACAAATTGATACCAAAATATTATCAGTTACAGGATGCCATTTACATAGTTTATCATGATATATTTGTTAAATGTTTCATTGTGCCTTGAAGGCCATAACCAGACTATGGTTAGGCCTCCATTATGGATGACTTGCTCTATGTCCAGAATGCTTTTTCTTTATCGGTTAACAAGAAACTTGGGCAGGACAGTTTTTCACCATTTCTTACATGTATTTTAATAAGAAAATTCTTCAAATAATATGACACAATTAAGGTATAGTCGCACACATATGCTAATGCTGTGAATAATGATGGCTACTTACAGGTGGGATATACGGGGGAATCGTTGAGAACATGCTTTCCTTGTTGATAGAGTAGCGCTCCGACACCCAGCTGGTGTCCTTCTGGTGCCTCCTCAGCTTCATCCTTCGGTTCTGAAACCAAGTCTTCACCTGCAACACAGAATCCCACCTGACTAAAAAGTGTACACAAGTTTTTGTCATGCTCATCATCCAACAGAAACATAAATCCCTCACCTGTTTGTAAGTCAGGCCTGTGAGCTCAGCCAGGTTCTTCATCTCAGCTGGGGTGAGGTACCTCTGCACGCTGAAGCGATGGACGAGAGTGTTCATCTGGCTCTCTGAGAAGGCTGTCCGGACCTTTCCTCTAGGGTTGTTCATGCCAGGGGTGCCTGGTTTCTTTGGGGCAGTTATGGGTGCAGCAGAGGTGTTGTTGTTGGCGAGGTTGCCCTCAGGGACAGGGAAAGCTCGCGGCTCCTCTATGAGAGAGCTGGAGACGGTCCTGTTGGCGCCAGGGCTCACTCTGCTGGTCTCCTGGTGAAGGTCTTTCTTGGCCCATGTGGCAGGGTCTGCATGGGGGAGACTCCCTTCCCTGCTGCTGCTGCTGGAGCTCCAGGAGTCTGAGCGTGGAGAGACATAAAGTCAACATGGGTCAGACCAGGAGTTTTAATAGAAAACTCAATAATATGAGAAAAATACAAATACAGCATCTTAAGTAAGTGGAAATGATGCCCTAGTTTAACAAACATGTTTTGTTTTGCTTTTCTCAAACACTAGAGGTCGCCATTTTGTTTTTGTAAATTGGTGGCGGGATAATTGTAAAGCGGTGGCGGGATAAAACTAGATAGACCTGAACTGGACGTCAGGCTCGTCTCTCCAGCAATAAATAGTCGCTTTTACCATCCAAGAAGACCATGGAAGTGCACACACGCTCTTACAAAAGTTAAAAGTAGTACCAGTTAATTACATACCCGGTGAAGTGCGCACCTCGGTGTCGCTCATCGTGTCGCTGCCGGCCCGACCAACCTCGTTCTCCCGGGCATCGTATGCAGATTGGGGTGGTCCGGTCACCAGTAGGCTGCCTGGTTGGGTGTCACCGAGATAAACGACCCCGGAGCCCTGGTAGTGACCGTGGCCGTTAACGGCGTGCCGCTCCGGGCTGTGTGGCGGAGACTCCTCCGGGGTCCTGGTGACGCCGGTGGTGTTGTTGGTGGTGGCGGTGGCGGCAGCGTAGTAGGCCTGTGTTACCCCGGGGTTGGAGTTGCCCAAGTCCGCCACCGTGCTGTCGCTCCAGCCGCTCAAGTTCCCGTGGTTCTGCTCGGGCCCGGACTGGTACATAATGCCGAAAGCGTAGGAGTAATAAGGACAGTGGTAGTTGAAGTTGATCTGGTTCTTCAAGTCAGCCATGGCTAAGGTGAGCGGTGAACATACACACACAATAAAAAAACAAAAAATTAAAAACAGGATGAAATATCGCTGCGTAAAAACCGAGCAGGAAGAGCTTCTGTATTCCGGGAGACACGTAAAGGTAAAGATCGGTCCGGCTACAGCGAACTGAGCTAACTCAAAAACAGCGCAGAGCTTCCTAGCCGCTGATTTTAAGGACGTGTGTGGGTGTGGGCAGGATGGAGGTGGGAGTCCTGATCTGGGCCAATCCCATTGATCCGCTGCTCCTGGGAGGCAGCCAGGTCTTTTCATTGGACACTGCGGCCATTCACGTTCAAATTCCGTGCGTCAGATTTGAGAACGAAGAAAGCAAGGTCTAAAAAAGATTTAAAACTAGGATGCAGCTAAATTCACAATGTTCACATTTTAAAGATCTGAGTATCTAGTATTTTAGTTGATGATGCCTCAGTAATTGAGATTAGACAAAATATAATGAGAAAAAATTTAAGTTACCTGGATTACCAGAGTCAGACAAGCAAACCAGATAGCTACCCAAGAGGCCCAAGCCTCACATTCATGAGCCATTTCTTTGTTTTCTTAAGCTTTCATAATAAGGGCTGGCAGTTTGGTCATGTTTCGTTGCCTTTTTTTGAGGCCCTTAAAGCATGTACTGTATATGTCAAAATCTAATTTGAAGACCCTTGTTATTTCAGCATATGCTGTGGTTTCATAATGCACATCTAACTCGATTTGTGTTTCATGAAATTACCACGATGCACACCTTAGTTTATGTAGTATCCCAGTGTAGGAATATGGTGCACCATGGACAAAGAGGTCTTCAATTAAAGACTAATCTAATCTAAAGTGATTTATTCATTGCAATAATACATGTATAATGGCAGAAAGATTAATTTTGGCAGTTACCAAAGTTGAATAGTCTTGCCAGACAGCTACTCACGGAGCCTCCCAGTAGCTCCAAGAGGTTACACTGTGCATTTTGCAGTCATTTCATTACATGTATTTTTTATTTGCTACACTTAACAATTACCTATTTTGAGGCCCTGTTTTTTTAGGCCAAAATGTATTTTTAGGATCTTACTCTCAGCTTACATTGCTATGGCTACTTTGGTTACATGATCCATCCATCCATCCATTATCTATACACCACTTAATCCTCACTAGGGTCGCATGGGGGCTGGAGCCTATCCCAGCTGATTTAAGGCGAAGGCAGGCGACACCCTGGACAGGTCGCCAGTCTATCGCAGGGCTACACTTAGAGACAGGCAACCAAGCACAGTCACATTCACACCTACGGACAATTTAGAATCACCTCAACATGTTTTTTTTGGACTGTGGGAGGAAGCTGGAGAACCCGGAGAGAACCCATGCTGCACTAGGAGAACATGCAAACTCCACGCAGAAAGATCCCTCACCAGGACGTAAACTGGCAACCTTCTTACTGCAAGGCAACAGTACTAACCACCGAGCTACCTTGCAGCCCTGGTTACATGATGCATATCTAAATTCATTTGCTATTTCTTAAATTACCACACCGTGCACTATTATCAAATCATTAATTGATGCATTGTGCAGCATGTCTGGCCCAGAGTTCAAACTATCATACCAGTGGTTTTACAAAATTATGTCCTCCTCCTTGTGTGACTGACACACTTTTAATGGTATCTCATGTGGTAATGCTCTGGTACACGTTTTAATCTATTACACAGTGAATACTGAACTGAAGCCTTATTGTAAAACAAATATACTGTAAATTGAATTACTCAGTTCTGTCAGAGAAATTACAATTAGATATTTTCAGCTGAACCCTGCTACACATCTTGGTTTACAGAATATTATATCATAGGACTATGGTGCACCATAGACAGAGAGCAGGAGGAGTGGGTGACGTGGGTTCCTCCAAGGTTACCTTTAGCTTTTGTCCTCCTGTGAACTGTTATTTAACATTTATTGATGTTGCCTTTTTTAAAAATTGTATTGACGTGTATCATTTTAAGTCAAACGCGATGGCTGGGCATCACCTTTGTGATGATGATTTTGGTAAAAAGATCCTTCCATGTTTGTGAGCTATATCCCATATTTGCAGTGTATTTGTCTCCTAAAAAGCAAGCCTTTGAGGGTGACGTTATTTTATTGTACTTTGTATTGTGCTTTAGGAATTCATCTTCAGTTATTAAACGATTCATTCATATTCTCCACAAGGAAAGAAAGTATTACTGCTCACTGATCATGCAGTTCAACAAACAATGTTATTTTTGTGACAGTTTGAGCATTTAAAACTTCCCTCCCTTACGTCTCTGTGCACTGCTTTTACATTTCCCGCTCATCATTCTAATAAAATCAGCTTATGCACATGAGACATCAACGTAATAAGTAAAGGGTCTTGTCAAAACATAGATATTGCTGAAAGTAACATCAACTTGCTGACTTGGCAGCCCATAAGCTTTAGTCCTTTGTGACCCTTGAGCATGAGCGTTCGGCACTCCAGTTATACGACGAATTATGTTTTCATGAGCCTCAGTTCCAGGTCAATAGACTAAATATAGTATCTGGGTCTCAAGCCTTGAATAGTTTATGAACTGCTAATTTGTCTTAGTCAGCATTGTTGATTATGGTCCAATTATGAATCTAAGGCAGTGTAACTTCATATACTTACTGTGTTTGAAGACTAACACAGAGCATTTTATTTATGATTTCTTTCTTTCTTTTTTTTTTTTTTTTTACCTATATTTGGCTTTTTTTTTTAAATGTGTGCACAATAAGTCTTGAAAAACAAAACCAGACACTAAAGTGCTGTATCAAACTACAGCACCCTCCCCCCTTTCCTATACAATGGGCTGGGCATGTTTTGACCTAAACTTTTTCCTTCCATTTGCAAACCTTTTCACAAAGATGAAATAGATTAGCCTGGGCATTACCATCTAAGAGTTGTTTGTGTTCCTCCTCCTGGTCTGCATTGTTGTGGTAACGATTCAATTAGCAATGACATGATGTGAGAGCAGTGAGCTTGATGGGCACATTAGCATTTCCCACTGTTCTTTGGCAGGGCAGGGCGTGTTTGCCTCACCGTGTACGAGCCGAGACACATAGGTGGGGGTTGATGTTTTAGGTGTGTATAGAGGGCGTGTGAATAACTGTGCAATGCATTAGCATTGCTTTGTGTGGAGGAGATTACAGACTGGTCTTTGATGATTGGGGAGGCTGTTCCATGGAGCTTGGCACTGGAGAGACACTGCAAGAGTTAAAACGAGAAGTTCATGGAGCCATACATTTTCTGCATGTTGCCAACGGCTTTGTATTGACATTACATGAACCATTGGACAATTTTAACTTTCTGGAATTAATGAAACACCAAAGAACACTTTATTTGTAAAAGAAAAAAGAACATAGCCAAAAAAAACCTATTAAAACATTTTATCATAATCCATCTTGTCTTGAATTGAATTGAATTGAATTGAATTGAATTGAACTGAATTGAATTGAATTGAATTGAATTGAATTGAATTGAATTGAATGTTTCAGCAGAAACAAATTCCTCCTCTCTGGTGAGCAAACTATAAAATAAAGAGTGAAAGATATTTTTGCTGTTCCTTTACTAATGCTGATAAAATGGATCCTTTAATGAATCGATAGCAAATGAATCTACAACAATTCTGATAATTGATGGATTGGCTTAAATTAACTAACTAGGAAAACAAAGCCAAACAATTTAATCTAGCTTTGTAGATCTGATTATTTGAACTAAGTACATTGATTTCATTTTAACACTGAGGGGACACATGAAGCATGTGTCTCTGCGTCAAACACTTAATGTCCTGCATTCTAGTGATTTTTTTGTGCACTAAATTGAGCCTTTTCTTCATCAATGTGATTAGTAAAAAAAAAGTTTAAAAAAAGAGAATTATCTCTTTTTTTTACTTTTGTAAAGGAACTCACAGAATACAGGCACCAGATGACCATTTAAAATATAATAACTCTCTCTGACATTCTGTATTACTTTCAAATATCAAACTCCTGTAGACCAACTTTTCTCATTTAACTTGATTTCTGCTGATTCAACACACACTGTATGTGCTGGATTTACACTTCTGCCCTCTTCTGTGTTTTTTGTTTGAGGAAGTAATCTCTCTCCTGTCTTTTGTTAAATCATAGCCATCCCTCTCTGTTGTAGCAAATGTTAATAACAACAAAGACAGCAAAATTACATTTAATTGAAAATTTAAAACAGGAAATGTATGGAATCTTCTGATTCATTGAGTTAGTCGTTTTTTTGTTTTTTTTTAGGGTCATAACTGTAGTTCTAAATCAGTCATGTTATCCCCATAATTTTAAATACTGTAGGGTCCTAGTGCTAATAATTACTACATAGTCCGGTAAAATTGTATTTTACAGAATTATTGCAGGATATTGATTCATAATATTTAAATTATTAAACTAAAGTCACATCATAAGTAATATGTTAGGGTCTTGAGCTTAATATTTAAACTGTTAAATTAACTAATACCACCAAACTTTAATTTTGTGTTTTCTGACTTTTTAAAAATGTATTTAACTTTCTGATATTCTGAATGATTTTTCCACAGTAAAACACTTTGGCTCAATGGCTGTTGTTTTAAATTTGCTGTATAAATACCAGTAACTTTAAATGTGGATGTGGGACCTATCCACCACAATGGTAATGAACTCATTTGAGCTGATGTATAATCCTCTGGGGCCATATTTACCATCAATGCGTAAGCACAGATGTGTGCGAATTGCGTAATGAGTGCGTACGAACAGTCCCACGCAACGTATGGAATTTATCAACTTGGTTTTTTTTTTATTTTTTAAAAATTGAAAAACACGTGCATTTTAACAAACATGGCTTCTTTGATGTCAATGTAAACAAAAAATGAGTGGGAACAAAAAACTGCAAAAGTCAGTCCGTCGCTTATGTAAGGGAAGGAGTTCAAAGTCTGTGGGGGAATTACATCAGTTCTTCATCTGGGAGATATTCATTAAAG